GTACTTTGGACTTGCGTTTTGGGATTGTTTGATGATGCACACAGGCACATACATCCTCTGTTGAGGAAAGCAATACTGTGTTTACATTTTGTGAATCGTGGTCAACCATGTCAGATCTCTCAACCACATACTTTAGACTGCGATGAGATCTGATACAATGTTCCATGAAATGGATAGAAATAATACGTCCATAGAAGGACGGTAATACTTGAGACCTTCCACAGTACAGTTAATTGAGTGTAGTGTATCCACGGGTATACTTGTACTGGTTCTGGTTCCGTACCTGTTGAGCCGCATCTCTCATTCCACGGCTCTGTCTGGTCAACGTCACTGAATAATGAACCCAACCTCACCAGCTCGTCAGGACACCTTCGCTTCTTTTTCTTAATTATGATCCTTCACACAGCACGAAATCTACTGATTGCACTGCCATTGGTCTACAATACGGATCTTCTCTCCATCATGCAGCGCCGCCGCAATCCCGACGCTCTTAGTGGGCGACGGCCATGTCACCACGTTATCAGGAAATTTGCCCAGCAGATCGTGTTTTGCGACACATATAAGGCTCTATGTCTCCTGAGGCCATAGATAAATCTCTTACCCTGAGTACGGATACCCCTGAGATTCCTTTGCGCTTTGTGCAAAATACGGCGATCGTCCGCTAACTGGCAGTCGGCGTTTAGGACGCTTCGTATTCCGCGTCTCAAAATTTTAGAAAATTGCACTCTTGAAGAGCAATTGCAGGCAAACTACGTGATGAAGAAGATGATCGTTTAAATCTATAATGTCCCGCTCACGCTCTCGGTCCACCGTGGGCAGCGACGCCCACGACCGCCTCGAGCCGCGCCTCCAAAAAGCAGCGGAACATAACGACCTCGAAGCCCTGACCATCATCGTCAACCTCTCTCGCGAAAATGGCCAATTCAGCGACTCCTTCCTCCGCGTCGGCCTCATGCGTGCCACCGAGCGCGGCTGTATCGAAGCAACACAATACCTTCTCCGCCAGGGCGCGAAAGCTGACATCCCCAACCTCGACCACACCGGGAATAGACCCTCGCCCTTATTCCGCGCCGTCGAGCGGAACCATGTGCGCATTGCGCAGTTGTTGTTGGATTACGGAGCGTCGCCGGAGACGGTGGATAAGAAGGGGCGAACGGCGTTGATGACGGCTGCATGGCGGAATCATTGGCATATGCTTGATTTGCTGATTGCGCGGGGGGCGAATGCCAATGCGAAGGATAAGAGGGGGCGGAATGCGCTGCATAATCTTGCTGCGGATAAGGTGTGTGATTGGGGCGATGATGTTGTGCGATTGTTACTTGGTACTGCGTGTGCTGTTGATGGGGAGGAAGGGAGGGATTCGTTGGGCCGAACGCCATTGCATTGGGCGTGTGCGACGGGGAAGATCCGACTGGCGGAGTTGTTGCTTATGCGCGCTGGGCCATTCGTGGTTGATATTGATGCTGTGGAGTTTCGGAATAAGACGGCGTTGCATATTGCGGCTGCGCATGGGAGGGAGGATGTTGTGGGTTTATTGTTGAGGTATGGGGCTGATTTGGAGGCTCGGAGTGATGGTGGGTGGACGGCGTTGCATAATGCGAGTGATAAGGGCTCTGTGCCGACGGTTTGTATGCTGTTACGGGCTGGGGCTAAGGTTAATAGTCAGCTGTTGAATGGGGTAACGCCGTTGCATTTGGCTGCGCAGGCTGGGCATACTGCGATTGTCGAGTGTCTTCTTGAACGACCGGATTTGAAACGGCGTATAAAAGACAACTTTGGGAGCACGCCGTTTTTGCGGGCGGCGCAGTTTCACCGCAAGGATATTGTGTTTCTTCTGGCGCCTTTTAATAATGTCGAAGCGCTTTCGCCTGATGCCAAGGGGGCGTGTGAGAACTTTGAAGCGACAATTGTCGACTTTGGCAACTATCACAACGAGAACCGTGTGCAGAAGACCTCAGTCTACAACCTTTTGTACGGCCGCGACAAGGAGAACCCACGCAAACAGGCCTTCAAAACCCTTCCTACTGACAGCGGAGTGACGGATTTCCGCTGGATCCATCTACCCGCTAATAACATGGCATGGGTAGAGGCCTTGCTCACTAAAGCGTTTATCGAAGAGGGTCTGCACGATGTGGACGGGTTTAAGGGTCTGGAGAAGTCATTCAACTACCAGCATCGCGGACAATGGACGCATTCACATTTCATGCGGCCGTTATGTCAGAGTACGCCAAGGGCTACGGCTTTAAAATCTCGCGACGAGGAGTCAAGTTCGGAAGACACACTCTCGCCCCTTTCGCCTAGTATAACGGTGAATGGACAGACGATAGTGAATGAACGACCTCGGGATTGTAGAAAGGAAAGGCAAAACCACATCCATCCCGAGAACAACGGCCATGGCCACCACCGTCGACATAGCAGCAACAAAAGCAAGAAGAAGAATACCGGTAAAACAGAATACTTTGCAGACAACGCAAGTGTCCACAGCAAGAATAAGGGGTCCAAGTACCCCGGAACTCCCAAGGGAGAGAAGAGTAAATCGTCGTTCGGTCGTGAGCGACATCCGTCCACGTGCAGAGACTTAACAACGTCCAACGTTTGCGTTTTCATGCCGTATCTACATTTTGAAACTGCGGAGCGACGGCAGAGAATGCAGGAGGCTATTCAGCGGGCTGAGTTTATTAGACGACGGCGGTTACCACCGCCTCCACCGGTGCTTTCATTTACTCCAGACCAGGTGATAGGTCGGTCTGTTTCGCGAGATGAGATGTTGATTAATGCGCATCTTACGTCGTCGTCTACTGCCTCGTTGCATGTTCGACGCACGCTGGACCAGTTCTTCTACCCGAATATCGATACTAGTACCCGAGACCAAGACCAGGTGGTGTACCGGTATCAGACGAGAAGTGACGATGGACGCTGCGATGATCCAAAGATCTTCATGGTCGACCAACTGTGGATGTGGATTCTGGGCCCAGATTTGATCGTGACAAGCTTTGCTCAGCGGTGGGAGCAGCCCAAGAATGACCCGCTGAATGTGCTGGACGGTGTCATTGAGGATATAAATTCGAAGACCCGTGATCCGGTTACCTCAGTGTATGACCTGGCGATTGCAATCACGAATCGGTGCTCTGGGGTATTTGATCGTCACCGCATGGACGAGGAGTACCAATTCCTAGACATGTTCGAATCAGCAGTCGGACTAGCAACCGACCGCGAGACGGTACTATTCCGCCAATTCAACGCAGCATCCCTCCAAGCATCAGAATGGCTCATGAATCACCGCAAACTCAATCACTGGGCCCGCCACGCCCAAAAACAGGAAGACCAACAAAAAAACTACCGTCCCTGGATCCTTGACGACACTGACCAACGAGCCTGCCACGAATCAGATGAACCTCTCTTCATTGACAAACTCCTCGACATCGGCCAGGAAACCGACCTCCTCGCCGAAGCAAAAGACATCCGCGACGAACTCAACATCATCCGCACAATCCTACAGCACCAAAAAGACATCCTCGACGACCTCCAAGACATCATCTGCAGTATCCACACCCATACTTACAACAACCGCCCGCAATCAGACATAAAAAAACGCTTCAGAGAACAACACCGCACTATCGACATTCACTTAAAAGACATCGAGCGCATGGACGCCCAGGCCGAACGTGTCTACTACTCCATAACAGACCTCCTGGACCTAAAACAGAAACAAGCCAGTGCAAACGAAGCCCGTTTCGCGCGTGACCAGGCCGCGGGGACAACCCGCCAGGGGAAAATCATCCTCGTCTTCACTATCGTCACTATCATCTTCTTGCCGCTCTCTTTTATAACATCGTTCTTCACAATCAACCTTGCCGAATTCCCCCACGACACCGACGGTGACACACAACTCCACCTCTCCTACGTAGCCCAATACACATTTGGCATCGGCTTCGCCATCTCCATCCCGCTAATCGGCTTAGCCCTCGCCGTCGACGACATCGGCAACATATTATGGCTCGTACGCCGGTATTGCACGGAACAATTCTGCAAGCTCACCGGAAACGACGACATTAAGGCTCAAGGAATGCGGAAACAAGAGAAGACCCAGGATATGGAGTATGAGGCTGCTGTGGAGAGGATTCGGAGGAAGAGTATGGAGACGGAGTTTGCGGGGAGTTTATTGCCTGTTTCGACGAGGGGGACTGGGAGGACGGGGCGGACGGGGAGGACGATGCCGTTTAGGGTTGAGGGGTTTGGGAGGAGGTTTTATGATTGATTTCTTTGGTGTAGATTTGATAGATAATGATAATGAGATTAAAATAAAAAAGGCTAACTTGAACAGATGAAGGTGTTACAGACATTAATTGCTTCGAGTTTATTGTTTAGTCAAGTCAGAACTTTCTGCGCCTAAACACCTTATTCCATATCATCTTCTTCATGTCTGAACTGGAACCAAGCGATATATTCAAAGGCGAGTCTCACCATGGCCATTTTCCAGGCCAGGTCAAGCAGAGAATTGTGTTACCACTGCCATATCTGTCAGTACTCCTGACAAACATGTAGAAGGTACGTGTAAGCATACACACCTACCAATATCACCTACGCCAGTCTGTGCTCGGTGGATTCATCTTTCCGAGCTCTCATCTGTGCACAGTCCCATAGTGAAATCTAGCTAGTACAGAACCCGGGCAGCCTGCTGCCTTGTATTCCAGTATGATAAAGGTAAGATGGCCCAAGTCCAAATACCCGCTGATGTAGATGGAAAATGAAATATGTGCAATGACGGTGTCAGGCTGCCCTGATGAGACTACTCATATGTGACAAGTAAGCATCCAATTAACAGCTGTTGAGAGGGAAGGAAGCTTCAACCCAGCATCGAAGCAAAGATGAAAGCCATGCATGTGCTTATTCACCTACCAGGAAGATGGAGAATGGGCCGCATTGCGGAACAGTCCCTTTAGTCTTTTAGTGTGTGAATATGATTGATTGGCCGGCTAGATTTTACCAGTGTGTACATGCTAATACCTCGACACCTCCCGTCCATACACCTTATTCAATAGTCTCCGAAACACAACCCTTATCTTGTTCTTCCAGCTAATGCTCATCGTCGCATACGCCCAATTCCACACAAGTGCTGCGGTCCGCCCCGTCAACCCCTGCGGCAGATACTTATACCCGTCCTTTTCGTGTGGGATCTGCATCAATGCATTAGCGTCCCCGATATACGCCAGCGATCCTAGATCCCGGAACGAAAATGGACCGGATTGCTGGATATCGCCCTTGTTGAACCGCGTCGCTAGCCATTTGGCTTCTTGGAAGGTTGCTTGCGCAGTAGCTGGTGGAGCACCGGTTTCGGGCATGGCGTTGTCACCCATTGCGAAGACATCTTGCATGACTGCTGTTTGGCCTTGGTCGTTTTCGAGCTGCACGCGGAGTTGGCCGTCGACGAGTAGTGCGCCGACTTTGGATGCTTTTTTCACGTGCCAGGTAGTGTTTGTTACCTCGGTGGGTGGCTTTGAGCCGTCTTTCATGAGTACGGAGTCCGTGGGGAGGGAGCTGAGATCCTGCAGTGCGCGCGAGACGAATTTGTTCATTGCATTGCCTGTCACCCATACGCACATGCCGGTGCCGACTTCTCCTTCTTCCTCGGTTGACAGGGTTAGGCATCGTTTTGGATCCATGTCGTATGGTGGTGGATCGCCGGGTGCGCCCCAACGGAGACCTTTGACGTGGTGGGAGGTTTTGATCTCGATGCCTTCTTTTTGCATAGTGTCCATTGCGTAGCGGGAAAGGGACTCGTCGAACATGGAGAGGACTTTAGGGGCGATGTCGTAGAGCGAGATGCGTGGAATGCCTTCAAGGGCCGGGTATAGACGGACTACGTCTTGATAGATATAGTCGCGGAGGTTCGCTGCTAGTTCTGTGCCCGTGGGACCGGCGCCGACGATGGCGAAGTGTAGTAGGTGCTTGCGCATTTCCGGTGAGGTTGTTGGGAGTACGGCTAGTTCGAAGCATTCCCGCACGCGACGCTTGACCCGGCGCGCATCGCCGATGTCCTTGAAGAACATGGCGTTGTGTCGTACACCGGGCGTCTTAAACGTCTTGCTCACTGCACCCACCGCGATGACTAGTTTGTCATACGGAACCTCGAACATTTCTCCCTGCTCCCATCTCCGCGCCTCAGTCATGGGCCGGTGACTTGTAGTTTCAGGGCCTTCCTCATGTAACCGCTCATCTTCGTGTGTCCGCGGTGATTCCGTAACACCACTCTTAACCACCGTCGATTCACACAGCACCGTCTTTTTGTCAAAGTCGACCGCCCGCGCAGCCGCCTGAATGAAATCGACTTTCGCCTTGGAATCCCGCACCGGTTCGACGATATTCGAGAAATCGAGTGCGCCGCTGGCAGCGTCGGTAAGGAGCGGCGTGAAGACGAAGTAAGACCTCGGGGAGATAATAAGCGGCGCGAAGGAGTCTGCGGATAGTCTGCGCGAGAAGCTGTACCCTCCCCAGCCGGATCCGAGGATGATAACTCGTTCGCGGTTTACGTCTGATTGTGCGATTGCTGTCGAGTGTCCGACTTGCGCAGCCAATGCTAGTTTAGTCGTTGAGAATCGTGCTCTTTGTACCTGGCGCAAGGCCGAACGCCGGGGCAGGACCTGTAAATGACTCAATGCCAGTAGCGTCATTTCAAAGCTGTACTGACCATAGAAAGTAAATGGAAGAAACGAAGAAATATAAATGGCAAATCCTGAAAATAGCACATGAAGATAAATGCATTTCGCATACTTCCGGAACCTGAACACATCATGACTTCATCTGGCATTTCCCCATGCGGTAAAAGTGATATCTCGGTCAACGATCGACTCCGATCCCGGTGCCCATTAAAAGCAACATTATCACCAATAGAGCACAAGCACTCCTGAACATCGGAACGAGGACTTCCGTACTATGACTCTGACTCCGTACGGTGTACGGAGTACGGAGCATGAACAATCACGGGATCCACGCCGGCATCGCTCGGACGAAAATAGAAAGGAAAAAGAAAGTGTTCGGAAAGTCCAGGCTTCCGTAACTCACCACTCCGGGCGGATAAGGGTACCGAGAAGATCTGTCTGTATTAGTACAGCTGAATTAGCAATGATTGTTGAGATACGCGCGGATTGTGGACGACGTCTCGTAATCCAATGCCAGTCATAGCCCAACAACCCGTATTGGGAGAGTACCTCAACACCGGAATCGGTGTCCTTTATGAGAACAGACATGGAATCCTGGGATGAGGGGTGGGATGCGAAGACATTTAAAGCAACGAAATAAGTCACGTGACACGATCATAAGATTGTCGCATGGTGCATCCTGTGCAGTAGATAGAAATGTACTCTAGCGAAGAGATGAATAATGAAAAGAATAACCGGAGCCCATGATTTCTTTCCCTCTTCCTTTTCTTTCCTTGTCTTCTCAGCTATCGACTGGCGCAGAGTTTATAGTCACCTAGGCCACTTGATCTTTTTCAGCGATATCGGGCTATGTTGTCTTCAATACAACTTGGCCTAGTGATATTCCTTTCTCAAGGGTCACCGGATTCTGTTCAGAAGCCTTTACAGTGGCAGTACTGACATACTGATATACGGCCGACGTTTCCGAGAAACTTCGGAAACTGGCCTTTTCCGTTTTCCGCCATGGCTTCGGAACCTCATCCTTATTTCTACTTGGTAGTATTCTATACTAACGCTTAAAATGGATGCTTCAGAGCAGAAGACGGGAACAGCGAGCGCTATTTTGCAGTCCGGGTTTCCATTCTGCCCATTCCCTCAATACCAACTGGAAGACCTCCCCACTGAGGGAGTATTGGAATGGGTGGAAGAGAAATTGGATGCAGGCCAACCATTTGTCGTACGCGGGTTCGACAGACTTGATACCTGGGATGCTGCACTACTCACAAGAGAGAGCCTTTTGGATCTTCTATTCTTGGACTGTATGCATATTGATCTCGTGATTGACGAACCGGGGCTTACTTTGGCATCTAGCAATCCTTGTTAGAAACTGCCAAACCGGACGCGATATCCGCGTGTCGGCGCAGGAATTGCTGCGTTCCGAAAGGCCTGGCCGCAAGGATAGACGTAGAATTCGAGAATCGTTAGTGCCTCTTGCTCGTAAGTGTTGAAAGGGTCCTTATGTTAAATTGTCTAGGCTCTATGCGAAAGATCTACAATGTCCCCCGCGTTGGGCTGAATCGCTAGATGCCCTCCTGCCAGAACCATTTCGATATCTTGGATCCCTCGACCTTTTCAGAGCTTTACCCAAACATATAGCCCCAGAGGTCTTTATGGCATATGTGGGCACGCGGAATTCATTGTATGTCTTGGTCTATGCACCCTTTTATCTGCAGGGCTAGCTAAATCTTGATACAGTTCCGGATTCCACAGATGTTTCAGCGGCACCGTTGCTTTGAACTTCTTACTCGAGGTTGATGGTACGTTCATTATCCTGCCCAATCCTGTCATTGATACTGAGTGACCATGAACCCCGAATAGGTATAGGCCCCGGTACAGTTTGCTACGGCACAGATCGAGATAGCCAAGAAAGATACAATGTATTCACTGAAAAGCTAGGACGTTCTCCCCACACCGACTGGGTGAGCATTTTGCCAGCGCAGATGAAACTCGCAGATTTTCCAATCTATGTCTATGATCAAAGACCAGGTGACCTGGTTATTTTCCCCTCGGCTACTGCACACCAGGTGTGCAACCTGGCCCCGAGCGTTACCAAAGTTGTCTGGAACATCCTTCATCTTTCCTCACTCATGGCATTTTGGCAGGATGTCCAGCCTGCGTATCACCACCAATGCCATGCAGATACTGGCCGAGTACCATTAGTACCATGTAATAGCTTACACCGCGCCTTCGAATCCAATGAGCACCATCGCACAAAGGAACTTACTACATTGGTAGATATATTCCAAAAGCTCATTGATGACCAGATCATTGAACGCGAAATAGATACTCCTATGCGGTCAGTCGATCCACAGGACGGTGTGATTGAGTGCAATTTTTGTGGCTCAACGATCTGGAATCGCCATCTACATTGCGACGAGTGCGGCGACTTTGACCTCTGCATGACCTGTTTTGTATCTGGTCGCAGCTGCAAACATACGTCCGCATACTCGTGGGCACAGATCGTGCCAATCCCAGAATGCAAAAACCTTGTGAAGCACGTTTGGAACATGCTTGAGCTCGCTCCTCAATATTCTTTGCCTGCCAAGTAAGCTATTGCTTTCCCTACACACCTATAGATCTACTGATTCTTTCTAGTTCTAAGTCACTCGGGACCTTGGCTTCTCAAGCGGTGCTCACTCGTCAAGATTCTACGGTGGGCGTTCTTTCATTGTCGGTATGGAGAGCAAAGCACTGACAGCTCCGTAGGGACGGCTATGTCATCTATGCAGGGACAGTCATCCACAATGGAAAGGCATTTCCTGTGAACGGTGCTCTTCCTTTTTTTGCTATCGCGGCCTTTTCCGTCATTTTGATATCGAAACTATCGCTTTGCTGCGACATGTAGGGCCATGGACCTGTCCAAAATGTTCTAGGATTTGCAATTGTCGCTGTTGCCATTTCCCTCAGCCATACCAGCGCAAACATCGACCAGCCGGTCCTCGTGTCAAAGCAGTCGATTCACGTGGCTCCGTCTATGGATTCATGGATAATGTATTCGACCACAAGAGAGGGAAAAGGCCGACCGCCACCATCGAAGATACTTCGACATTATCGCAGAACAGTCCACAAGGGCAGAAACGGCCGCGCACTGAGAGCAGCGACGTGTTCCTCGATGTTTGGAAACAAGATCGGTTTAGAAGACCCAGATCAAGGCTATTGACCAATAGAACGAGTGCCTCACCACTTGAGCTTCCTCCTATTTCCGAGCTGCCCGGAATGGGGTCTACCAATTCTCGGGTCGAGGCGCCTGTCCGCATCAGCGATTTGCTCGTCCAGCAGGGGAGCCTGCCCACAGACGAAGGTGCTGACCGTCGAGCATTCACTTCTCCAAGCTCTTCAGCACATAACGCTTTCCCAAGGTACGAAGTTATGCCCCGTGGTTTCACCGTAACTCCGCCCAGGCCCGAAGAGGCTCGTCCCCACGCCGTAGCGGGCCCCCAAACTAGTGCGGCGCCTGGACTGGGGGACATACCTTCCCTTGAGAAACGCCTAGAGGCCCTCCGCACCTATGCAAACGACCTTTTGGAACTGTCATTGACAGACTCCCACGCCCAAGTTCTCGACCGGATCCAACAGCTGCAGGGGCAAGTTGAAGCGGCCAAGAGAAGGAAAGCGGAGGCTCTATTGAGTGGTTTACGGACGGATTTTCCCGATTTGGCTGACGTGGCCATGGAAGAAGCACGGCGGCGGGGGGTCTTGCAGTAATGATGCCAAGAGAGTCCCACTATCTGCTTACAGGCCTTCCGAGATTGACGTGTATAGTTATAAGGTTATGGTCTGTTTCCGAGCGACATTTCTAATCATCCTTCCCCGCTTGCCCCTCTCCGTTATAAATGCTGCATTCCATAGTATGCTTGTATTCCAGCATATCTATCTTCATCAATTCATTCAAGAGCGTCATTGATATTTATCTGTACACTGCACTATGACCGAAACACTCCATCTCAACAGCCGAACCATCTCCCTGCCTACAGGCTTATTCATTAACGGTCAATTTGTAAACAGCAAACAAGGTGCCAAATTCGACGTCGAAGACCCTGCCACAGGCCAGCCCCTCATCTCAATCGTAGAAGGCCGCGAGGACGATGTTGACGAGGCAGTCCGCGTTGCTCGACAAGTCTTCGACGCCGGAGACTGGGCACAATCCAACCCCACCTACCGCGCATCTCTCCTAAATAAACTTGCCGACCTGTTTGAAGAGAACAAAGACGACCTGATTGCGCTTGAGTGTGCTGACACCGGCAAGACTCTGAAGCTTTGCTCGTCGCTTGATTTCCCAGCCTCGGTCGGTACTCTGCGGTATTATGCTGGTTGGGCCGATAAGGTTGCGGGGGAGACTTCATTTAATATCCCTGGTACTTTCGCGTATACTAGGAGGGAACCCATTGGGGTTTGTGGGCAGATTATTCCGTGGAAGTAGGTCGTCTGCATTGCCCGCCTGGCCGTCGCTGGATGCTGACCCAATAGCTTCCCCTTGATGATGTTCATATGGAAAATCGCTCCAGCATTGGCTACCGGAAACACAGTTGTCATTAAATCCGCCGAGGCTACTCCGTTGTCAGCACTCAAGGCCTGTGAATTGATCTCCAAGGCTGGCTTCCCGCCTGGCACGCTCAATCTGGTCTCTGGGTATGGCAAGACAGTTGGAAGTGCAATTGCCCACCACATGGACGTGGATAAGGTTGCGTTCACCGGCTCTACCACCACTGGACGTGCGATTCTGCGTGCCTCGGCCGCGTCGAATCTGAAGAAGGTGACTTTGGAGCTGGGAGGTAAATCTCCGGTATGGACCCAGCCCCAGCTTATTCAACAATATGCGAGGGCTAACGTTTCGCAGAACATCATCTTCCCCGACGCCGATGTAGACAAAGCAGTGGACTGGTCCGCATGGGGCATCAACATGAACTACGGCCAGACATGCCACGCAGGCACACGCATTTACATCCACGAAGACATCTACGATACATTCCTGACCAAATTCACTGCTCGCCTGAAGGAGATCATTATAGGCCATCCATTTGACAAGACCACGAAGCAAGGCCCGCAGAACAGCAAGATGCAATACGAGAAGATCCTGGGCTACATTGATTCTGGTGTCGAGGAAGGTGCCACGCTGCATCTTGGCGGAAAGGCTATTGAAAAAGAGACTGGTGGGTACTACATCGAGCCGACTATTTTTACGGATGTGCGGCCGGAAATGAAGGTACTGCTCCCCTTTTCCTAATATCTTCTTCATGCTCATAAGCGGTATAGATCATGCGTGAAGAAATCTTCGGCCCCGTCGTCGCAATCTCTAAATTTTCCTCCGAAGCCGAAGTCATTAAGCACGCCAACGACACTTCATACGGTCTCGCCGCAGCCTGCCACACCAAGGACTACGAGCGAGCTATCCGAGTGACGAATGCGCTGCGGGCGGGCACAACTTGGGTGAACATGTATAACTTTGTGCACTGGAGTATTCCGTTTGGAGGGTTCAAGGAGAGTGGAATTGGACGGGAGTGTGGAGCGGCTGTGTTGGAGAATTATACGCAGACGAAGGCGGTTTTTTTTAATATGGGGGTGCCGTGTCCGGAGTAGATAACACATAGTCGTGATCAATGAGTGACTTTCTTCTCCTCTTCAAGCTGGCCATTCTGAATTACGAATTCTTCACCGTAATGCTCAAGAAAAAGGTGGGTGTTATCCATGGTTTAGCCCAAGCCCTCCGAACACCCGAAACGGAGATAGTCTTTCTCGGAAACCCAAAAAAACACTCAAGCGAGGTTTCACCGATCGATGCGCACAGACGCAACCTTTCTCGGGTTACAATCGCATCTTAGTCGGACGGTTCGACAAGGCATTTGCTGATCTAGAGGAGGGGAGATTTATTAAGGCTATGTTTTGTTGGGATTGATCAATGTAACTATCATGTATAATGCAATACGTCTCACACTAACACTAGTCTTGCCTGCTTAACAGCTACCCGAGCTGCTCACTCAAAATCAGACTCGGCAATCAGGTTTAGACCTGATTCCTGGATCTATAGATAGTCAGTATCAGGAGACTTCGCCTCGGGTTAATAGTCCTTACCAGACGTTGCCCCTCCTCCGAATTCGTCCCCTGTAGCCTCACAACCATTGGACACCGCAATGGGCCCAACCTCGCAGCAGCTTGGATAATGGACTCAGCCACCATATTGCACCGAACAATACCTACAGCAGAAGTCATTAATGACGATTTTGGACAGTAGGCAATAGGGAGTACACACCCCCATAAATATTAACCAAAACAACCCTAACCCGCTCATCCTCTAAAACAATTTCAAACGCTTTCACCATAGTCTCCGTAGTAGCCTGCCCACCTGCATCCAAAAAAATTGCACTCATCCCCCATAAAACGCAATCGGATCATTAGTCGCCATCGCTAATCCTGCACCATTAACAACAGTCCCCACATCCCCGTCGTTCAATCGCACATATACCAGGTCTTGTTTCTCAGCTTCGCGTTGCGCAGGGGATTTGGTCGTGTTATCGCGGAGGTTGGCGAGGTCGGATTGGCGTGGGGCAGTAGCGTGGTCGATTGCTAGGGCGGATGTGTCATGGTAGAGGAAGGTGTCTTGTGGTGCGTGGAGTAGTTTGGTGATTTCTAGGTGTGTAGCGTCGGTGCGGGTGAAGAAGCTGTATAGTTCCTGGAGGAGGGTTCGGAGGCGGTTAGTGGGCTGTTTGAGCCATGGTTAGATGGGTTGTGAGTTGCGATATGGCTTCACTTGTGATTCCTTGCTAGTAGTCTAGGTGGACTACTGCGGGGATGGGATGCTGTTTTTGTCTTGCTTGGATAGGATGATGGCTGGGGCTCGTTTCTCGCGGTCAAGAGTTATTGTGAGGTGGTATTCGCTATATTGACCTACTACTTCAGGTTGAACCGGCTTAGCTGCATTCTCCATGGGTGTTGGAGTATTTGCTTGTGCCATGTTGGAAACGGGAGTGCCAGCTTTGGTACATTATGAGTTAGTTGTGAGCGAGCAGCATGGGACACCTGACACACCTGCTTCAATAAATCCTGGAATCACAATCTGTGGATATGCAGACCGCGATGCTGGATCGGAGGTAAAAGAGATAGAACAAATGGGAAAACAGAATGGTAATTCTGTTCAGATTGGAATCGAGCACCGCGTAACACGAACATGATGGGTATGATACTTAAAGTTCCCTATCAAAGATAATTGAGCTTCTATGCAAGAAGAATGCAGAAGGAAATGTGCCTCTTTTTATGCCATAAATTTTCGGAAAGCCGCCCGGTCTACAGCCGGCAAACTCGAGAAACGTTGAGTATAAATCTCGATTTCTCTTCTCCTTCCTCTACGTATACCCTTTCTTTATTGGTATTGCATTTTTAACTGTACTCGTGAACATGATGTCGCTTCGCCTTCCCTATGCTTGACTCCAGTCGAAAGCGACCCCACACACCCAAGAGCCGCCATGAGCACTATCAATAATTTACCGTATGTGTGAACTATTCGCAACCTCCGGATTGATGATAGCACTCCTATAACCTATCAAGGATTCACAGGAAAAGCAGTACGATCCGAAACCCTCTTCCCTGCGTTTGTTCACGAATTGAGAAACCACAGGCTACAGCAAATGCCCGCGATACGATTGCATACGGCAGAAAGATTGTGGGGGGTGTCTCTCCAAGGAAGGGCGGCTCCTAGCACCTTAGCCTGCCTGACTACAACACAGTACTGGAGGTGAGTCTCCTTATCACCATACTCGTATTCAGCAAGTAACAAAAACAGGCCAAAGAACACCTCAACTCCCACGCAACCGTTGTCTTCGTCCCAGCCCTCCTAGCTGCAAAAGCCATTGAAGAGGCAGTCTCGGCCCAAGTCCCTCTCATCGTCTCCGTGACCGAACACATACCCGTCCACGACATGCTCCACATTCAACAAATCCTCCTTACCCAGTCTGGTTCTCGCCTAGTAGGCCCCAATTGTCCGGGAATCATCTCACCTGGCGGCAAATGCCGTCTCAGAATTATGCCATATCAGCAATACATGCCCGGAAACGTGGGGATCGTTAGTAAGAGCGGGACACTGAGTTACGGGGCAGTTGGGGCGACGAGCTGTGCGCGGCTGGAACAGAGTCTTGTTGGAATGGGCGGTGATGTGTTTGCAGGTACGACGCTGGTGGGTGCGTTAGAACTGTTTTACGGGGATGAGTGGACGGAGGGAATTGTAGTTATTGGGGGGATTGGAGGGGAGGCGGAGTTGAGGGCTGTGGAGAGTATTAGGGAGTACTATCGGTCTTCTAGGAAGCTGAAGCCTATTGTTGCGATGGTGACGGGGAAGACGGCGCCGGAGGAACAGGTTATGGGGCATGCTGGGCCGGTGCTTAGGCCTGGGGAGAGAGGCGCTGAAGCTAAGGCGACTGCTCTGGCGCAGGCGCGGGCGACGATTGTGCCGCATCCGGGATTGATTAGGGTGGAGATGAAGAGGTTTTATGATGGAGTGCAATGAGTGATGTTTTGTTCAGTTCTAGCTGAATAAACAAGGCCAATTTCACGAGTAACTTGCCCCTGGGCCGATTATGCGAGGCCGCGGATGTCGCCAACGCGTGCTTGTTCTTGGCCAGCGATGAGTCGCGGTTTATCACGGCGACTAATTTGGAGGTTGATGGGGGGGAGGGCTATATAGAATATGTAGAACATGTTTAGCGCTCCTCGTACTCCGGAAGCGGGGTTTCTCTCGAAAAACTGGAATCCGAGAATCGTTGACCAATTAGGGTTACGTGTCCGCCGGTTATATGTATAAAGGCTGTATCCTCTTCTCCATCTATTCCATCCCTCTGAGTCTATTATTTAACCCCTTTGATTCCACTTCAATTTTTCACTGCTAGTTATTAGTCCAAACAGCCATGCTTCGCTCATTCGCAATCGCCGCCACCCGGCGTCCCCAAACTACTGCATTGTATGTGCGGGCTCCTATGACAGCCATGGCATCTGTGAGTAGTGTTCTCAATATATCAATGACAGACTTCAGTCAACGCTGCGAAACACCGATCTATTCCGCGAACAAACCTATATCGGAGGTCAGTGGCAGGCTGCACCGGACAAGAAGACATTCTCTGTAACAAGTATGGATCAACTCTCAGCATTTGATCTATAGGAAGGGATATCTGACGCTTGTGCTCAGACCTGGCCGACAATAGTATCCTAGGGACTTGCCCGGACGTGTAAGTCCTCCCGATTGTGATGCTCCAGAAATCCTGGGGAAGTGACCCGCTAACCCACTCCGCTAGGGACGAACACGGAACCCATAAAGCCATCGAAATAGCTCACCGCACCTTCCAATCCTTCCGCCTTCTTCATTGACTGGTTCGCTGGCGAAACAATCCGCTCTTACAGATACACGGCCCAAGGCACAGCACCGGGCCACCGGGTAGTCACTATCAAGCAATCTGTGGGTGTAGTAGGGGCATTGACGCCCTGGAACTTCCCGTCGGCGATGATTACGCGGAAAGTTGCGGCGGCGATTGCGGCGGGATGTACTGTTGTGATCAAGCCGGCTGCTGAGACACCGTACTCTGCGCTGGCGCTGGCGGCTTTGGCGGAGAAGGCGAGGTTGCCGGCTGGGGTGTTGAATGTGGTTACTCGGATGAGCATCTGCAATCTGTTGGACAGAAGATATGTACGCATCTAGCTGTTAAGAAGATTTCATTTACGGGGTCGATGAAGGTGGGCAAGCATCTTATGGGAATGGCCAGTTCGACTATGAAAGAGTGCTCTTTTGAGCTGGGAGATAATGCGCCATTTATTGTCTTTGAGGTTGGAATGACGGGCATCAATACCGGAATCGTCTGATCCAATGGCACCCTTCGGCGGCACCAAAGAATCTGGATATGGACGTGAAGGGGGGCGATATGGGATAGAAGAGTTTCAGGTGCAGAAGGTTGGTTTTCTTTCTTTTCTTGAACGGGACTTTTACTGATTCTGTAGACCATCACACTTGGAGGAATGGACTTGCCAGTGACACCTTTGACAGTATAGGAGAGGTCATAGCAAGATATTTTCTCATTTGTCTGTATATATGCAGATTTTGAAGCAACAATAACTCTTCTTTTCTGAATGACTGCTTTTGCAGGGATGTGAGGGTATGCCATATAATTCTTGCAGTAGGGGGGTTGGGGGTATTGAAGGCATTGTTCAATGGAATGTAGTTGTTACATTTTTTGGGACTCCTCTTTGCTATCTAATTGGCAGCTAGCAAAAAGAGGTCAATTTATGGGAGGATGGGGGACATGTTGGATAGTAAACCGCCAGCCTGTGGTATAAGGGATCCGGGATTCCCCCTCGTCGAGCAGTTTAGCGGACTTGCTGTCTTCTCGGAAATCTCAGGACACGAGATGCGATGCCAAAAATGAGATCAGATAACTCGATAGGTAGATAGGCCTGACGTATTGATATCCATTACACAACACATTATATACAACCACCCCCCTCACAGCTTGCTCTTCAACACACTCCCACCATCCAACACAATCGTCGCCCCATTCAAATGACTACCCGCCCGACTCCCCAAATAAATAACTGCCCCTGCAATATCCTCCGGCCTGCCCAACCTCTTATTCGGACTCTCCTCCTCCAAAGCCTTCAACCCGCCCTGCTTCTCAATTAACCCGGACGCCATCTTCGACGGGAAGAACCCAGGCGCAAGCGCGTTGCAGAGGATATGCCGAGGACCGAGTTCGAGAGCGAGGTTCCTGGTTAGATGGAGGACGGCGGCTTTGGAAGCGGAATAGCTGAATGTGGCATTTTCGCCGAGAGAGCCGACGCCGATGCCTGCGACGGAGCCGGTGATGATTACTCGGGAGGGGGACTCGCGGGTTGCGGATTGGGAGAGGAGAGGAGCAAATCTTGACGAGGATATCAGTATGTGAATAATAGAGTTGGAAACTCGGAGCAAAGGCATACTTCTGCACCGAATAAAATACACTCTTGACATTCAAATCCATAACCTTCGAAAACGCATGCTCGGGGTGCGTCTCGAATTTCTCGCCCCATGTCGCGCCCGCATTCGCAAACAGGATATCCACATGGTCCGTTGTCTTTTTCACTTCAGCAATGAGTCTATCCAATTCATCCATGCGCGAACTATCGGCGGGGACGGAGATGGCTTGCGCGCCGAGGCGCTTGTTCGGGAGCGCGTTGAGCGTGGCGACGGCTTCTTCGCAGGCGCTGGCTTTTCGCGATGTGATGTAGACTTTGGAGCAGCCAGCTTGGAGAAGACTATTTAATTCTGTTAATTTGGTTACAATTGTTGCGCAGATGGAATTGGTGAAAGCATACCCTGACGCAGCGTGGAGTCCTAGACCCCTGGAACCGCCGGTGACGACGGCGACTTTGCCATCGAGGGAGAAGAGCGAGGAGAAATTGTCGAGATGTACTTCTGACATTTTCAATTGAGTAATATCTGGCGATTATCTGGAAAAGATAGAGGTTGGAAAAGTTGAAACCATGCCCCTGTGCTCGTACCTGAGTACTTAAATGAAGTCATACCGAAAGCCGAGGTTCGGTAATACCCCGCATGATTAGTGATCAGTTCTGGGATGAAATGAGGCTATTCGAACTACAAAGGACATATAGAGTGGGTTATATGAGTGAAGTATTCTCTTATTGTGATATAGGTTTGAAAATATTCCTGTATAGAAATGGTCGTGGGAGTATGTGGCATCGGTAAACTGGGGTAGGGTGCGGCACGAATAAGAATAGATCCTAACCCTAATCGACAGCCAGGATAACATCATTTCGGACAGATATTCATACAGAGCATTCGTTACTAATTGGCAAGCAGATGCCATCCATACAAGGTATCATTGGGCAGAATCCCGTAGAATATCAGAGTAATATGCTCAATCGTGCTCGATGAGACCCATCAAGGTCCCTGGAGAAACCCGCTCAAACACGCGCACTAGGGTACCTTGGGGATATATCTTCTTTCCCTTCTTTTCTCTACTTTCTTTCGAGCTTCTCTTCACTCTCAACAACTATCCTATCTTCAGCTGAATTCGAAACATCAGTCAAACACGAACTACAACCACCATGTCTCAATTCACCCTCCCTCCCCTTCCCTTCGCCTACGATGTAAGCATATCCCTATCCAATTACAACCCCAACGCTAATAACGAGATTAAAAGGCCCTGGAGCCCGTCATCTCCAAGCAAATCATGGAAATCCACCACCAGAAGCACCACCAAACCTACATCACCAACCTCAACGCCGCTCTAACCGCCCAATCCGGCGCCCTCCAATCCCAAGACGTCCCCCAGCTCATCTCCCTGCAACAAAAGATCAAATTCAACGGCGGCGGCCACATCAACCACTCCCTCTTCTGGAAGAACCTGACCCCCGCCAGCTCTCCCCAGGCGAAGCTCGAGTCTGCCCCTGGCGTCAAGGCGGCGATTGAGAGGAAGTGGGGTAGCTATGAGGGCTTCCAGAAGGTGTTTTCGGCGACCTTGCTGGGGATTCAGGGGAGTGGGTGGGGCTGGTTGGTTGCGAATAAGCCTAAGGGGGAGTTGGAGATTGTGACGACAAAGGATCAGGATCCGGTTACGGGGGATACGCCGCTTTTTGGGGTGGATATGTGGGAGCATGCATATTATTTGCAGGTGAGCTTCTTTCTATCCCTGTCACTTTATTCCTTACACGTTGATGCTAATGATGTGCTTGTAGTACCTGAACAACAAGGCCTCCTACGTCGACGGTATCTGGAAGATCATCAACTGGTCTACTGCGGAGGACCGGTACCAGAATGGCATTGAGGGTCCTGCTGTTCTCAAGCTGTAAACTAGATCATTATCAGAACTCAGTATATATGCTATGGTATATGAGCATCAGAATAACACGGAAATGCCATGAACAATTCACCGAAACTCCAAAGCGACAAACATTAGACAAAATCAATCGTATCCAACAACCCCCGTCCCCATCCTCCCATCCGCAACAACAGTAACCTGTCTCCCCACAATCCCCGTATCCGAAATCCCCAGGTCTAACCGTTCCGGCAACTCACATTCCATCTCCATCTTTGACGTCCCAGGCTGGGGGCTCAGACGGAAGGCATGCAGCGGCGATGATGCTAATGTCGGTGAGGATGTGAGATCTCCGTACTTCCTATTGTCCTTGTTAATAGCGGCCCAGATATAGGTAAAGGATAGAAAAGACTCACTCTATCCGCAAGTCTATTGCGGAAGACCCCCAGAGCGCAGCGAGAGTGTCTATGTCATTATTGTCGGCGCGAAAGGTAGCTTGTGTGTTTTCTTTGCTGTTATGGAAGAGGACAGAGTAGGAATTGGCAGAGGAAGAGGAGGCTGGAAAGAGTACGGCGATACGGCCGCCGGAGCTAGGACGAGGAGGGCCACACATTGTATAGATTAAAGTGGAGTATGGTATAGAAGTATCTGGGATTTGAGATAGTAGAGTAGTATGGAAGGATGTATAGTATGCTAGAATGATAACAATAATGAGACTGAACAGCTACAGGAGAGCATACTTATATGTGTCCCCCCAAGGTACTCTCTTCCAAGGTGTTTGCTTCATCTTTCTCAAGGTTGCTCAAATCTGCGCAGTGGGGCGGAATGCTAATCTTCCCTATTTAGGTATGTATACTTATTTTAGTACTGCATAGCACGACTACATAGTACGAAGTCCTCTGTAGTATGCTCTGTAGTATACAGAGGGTTTATATTCAAATAAGTCCCATCTTCAGGAACCACTGCGATCTTTACGACGATCTTTTGGTGTCTGGACCTAAGTTTGTGGGCTTTTCTTTTTTTTTTTTTTTTTTTTTTTTTTTTTTTTTTTTGGCAAATATCTCTGATCGTATCGATAGTTAGATATTATGATTAAAAACTTAAGCCAAAGTAAAACTTAACACATTAAGAATACACTCGGATAGGATGCGCCTCCGTGTTAAACACAAACTTGTTCCCATTGCCCGGCTTCACCTGCCACTCATCGTCTCCTGTCACCGCTAGATACGCATACTTGAGCACTTCCGCGAAGATGAAACTCTCCTGGTTGTCCAGTTTTTCACCTCCGTCCTTTGCATTTACATTGTTGATTCCTGCGAATCCGGAGTCTGTCCGGCATGTCGCATTGATGGCCACAAACGCATCCCACACCCAGTCTCGGTACTCAGTCTCACCGGTGACACGATACGCATAATAGAAGCTCTCAATCACTTCCGGCCGCAGAATGTACACCCCATTGGTGATGTAGAAACCGGCTTTTTCGAAAAACACCCGCTGGTCATCTGGAACCGACTGCGCATCCCATGCAAACGTCTCCGGTCCAATTCCCGTCGCTGTCTCGTTGTACGTTGCATGGCACCCTTTCACGAGATCTCGGCCGAACTGAATCAACTTGTCGTCACCTACCACAGTCCCACCCAGCAGGAAGCTACCTCCATCGAAGCAGGTCAGGTGCTGCGCACTGAGACCCAGCTTTCCTTTGTTGTATGACGCCAGAAATGTCAAGTCCGGCCGCGACGACGGATGCGACTGCAGATGCTCAATGGTTGAGTGGGCAGCTGCCACCCATCGGTCCTTGTACAATCCAAAGCGATGCGGGTCGTAGACGTACATCTTGATTAGGTATTCGTAGAAGGAATCCGCGCCACCGTCCCAGCTAACTGCTGCGTCGGTGAAGTTGCCCGTCGCGATATCAATGTTACTGCCCACCAGACCGGGAAAGGGCTCACTGCTGGCCGGTTTTGGGTGCAGTAGATACTCTTGTGCCTTTTGACTCAATCGCGCATACTCCGGATCACCTGTCAGGTCACTCAGTCGCGTCCATTCTAGCGTAAGGGTGCCCATTCCGGCGAGCGAGTTGTATGTCAGACCATCGTTCCCGTGCGAAGTGATATTGACGTCGTTTATCGGTACCCCGGACTTTGTGTCAAAGGCGAACTTGAGTCCGTCTGCTAGTTTCTTCGACTGAGTAAGGAGAATATCCACCTTGGACGAATCTTGAACCAGATCTGCCATAGGGCCTTTCAGCAAGTCGTATCCGGATAACATTCCCGCGAGGTATCGGATGGTAGTCTCGAACAGACTGACCAAGGATGGAGTGGTGGAATAATCGACAGAGGCAATATGGTCGAGAATTTGGTTAACCACATCGGCTTTGCGCATCAAGATCGCGGTCGAGAGGGCATCAACGGCAGAAGCGCCCCATCCATTTCTTATAGTACATCATCAGCATCATACAGGCACGAGGAAAAGAGGTGACATACCTGGAATCCCCATAGCCGTTGGAAACTGGACGCAACTCGTCATGAGGAAAAGCGTATTTGGTATAACCATTCCAGGCATGCTGAAAAGCTTCTTTGACCGCGTCTGCTTGAGAAAGGGCCTCTTGGTGCAGAAATGGCTGGGACGGAAGGGTCACAGCCAGCGAAGGGCTGATGAGAAGAAGACTGAAGAGGCGCATGTCTGGCAGTTAATGAGCGACTAGAAGAAAGAAATCAACAACAAAAGTGTATTAGAAATTAAGGTAAAAGAGTGGCAATCCGAAGATAAGAGAGTGACAGTGACGGTAGTGACAGTAGTGACACAACAGGAAAGCGCGAGTCGCATATCTGTAAGAGTGACACGGTCATCCCTGCGTCGCAAAGGAAGAATGCTGCATTTTGTCTCCAATAGTCGTGTTTGTTGTAAGGAATCGGTCATTATTATTATTGGAGATCGTTAGCTTTTTCCGTGTCAGACATTTTTTTTACTGTAATACCCCGGAATACACGGATTCGTTTGCGATTCGAAGTCACATATACTTGGCTGTGCTTGTAATACACCGAATATGATCGGTGCATTGAGTCTCCTTTGGTGGCAGCTACGGTAATATATCAATATTATTCAAAACGGAAGCCCTGAAGCTATACAGATTCTAATTAGCGTGCTGCCATTGGCTAATTCTTCGGTCAACATCATCAACCTCACTCTTGATTCTATCTCTCTAACTTTTTATTTCCGTATATACCGATTCCACTTCTTGATTCTATATCTTTTAATTGACCTCCTTGATTATACTATAAAGACAAAAATTGGTGAATGGCCGATTGCGGCGGGGCTGAAAAATCGACAGTATGACTCCTCCGGCTTCAGCTTCTCCTCTTCTTCCTCTCTCCCTCTCCCAACTCTTTCTGCCATTATCCCCAGGACACAGGGGACTCTCTTGATCTATTTATCTTTCTTATTTACTTGCCTCTCCTCGCTAACAAGACATACGACAGAATGGCAGCCCCCCTCCTCGTCTCCTTCGACCCCGCGGCCCCCGCTGGTCTCTCTCTCCAGCAGATCGCATACCTAGGCCGTGTCCTCGTCAAGGTCAACAGTCTGAAGCAGGCTGAGGATTTCCTGCGCCAGAACTTCCGGGACCTCGACGTCTACCTCGATGCCACCGACATCCCTTCTTCGGGGGATATCGTCGATATTCTTAACACCGGTGCCGCCAAAGTCTTTATCTCCCTTGACCAATTAACTGCCCTGTCGCAAGAACAATCTGTTCCATCCGACCGTCTCGTTGTCTACACTTCGTCCGATAGCCAGATCGATGCTTTCCAGAAATGGGTGGCAGAGAATCCCGAGAGGACGGATGCCGGTCTCGTTACGGAATCGGCTACCAAGGCCCTGGCTGATAAGCTGGGCATGAACCTTGAGGCGCAGAATCTCTATCAGAGCTACCGTGACAACGCATCGATTACAGAGGAAGGTCTGAGGCGGACTATCAATGAAGGTGCTGTTAGCGTCGTTCCCGCACAGATTCTGACCTTCGAGCGCAATCCTTCCGATGGCCAGATCTCCGCCGCTTCGCTTGTTGCTGCCCGCGCCGTGGTCGACCAGGGCAATGGCTTGTATGCCACCCTTGTCACTGATGAACGGGGTGTCTCTTTGGGTTTCGTCTGGAGCAGTGATGAGAGTATCGCTGAGGCCTTCCGTACTGGTACCGGTGTCTACCAGAGCCGGAAGCGCGGCTTATGGTACAAAGGTCAATCCAGTGGTGATGTGCAAGAACTTATCCGTGTTGGTTTTGACTGTGACAGCGACTGTCTTGTCTTCATCGTTAACCAAATTGGCCGGGGTAAGATCAACAATCACAAATCCAGCTTTGTCGTAATTAACGCTTTCTCTAGGATTCTGCCACCTCGGTAGAGCTAGCTGCTTCGGTCCCTACAACGGTCTCTCCCGTCTCCAAAAGACCCTCCAAGCCCGCAAAGCCGATGCCCCTGCCGGTTCCTACACCGCGAGACTGTTCAATGACCCCAAACTCGCCCAAGCTAAGATTATGGAGGAAGCTGATGAACTTTGCCGCGCCAATACCAAGGAGGAGATCGCGTTTGAAGCTGCTGATCTGCTCTACTTCGCTTTGACTCGCTGTGTCGCCAATGGTGTTAACTTGGAGGATGTCGAACGGAATCTCGACCTCAAGAGCCTCAAGGTTAAGAGGAGAAAGGGTGACGCCAAGGGTCCCTGGGCTGAAAAGGCTGGTCTGGCACCTGCAGCCGAATCTAAGCCCGCCGAGGAGAAGAAGCCCGAGAAGCCCACCGTCGACGTGAACGCCCGACTCGAGATGACCCGCGTGGTCACCGCTTCGACACCAGAGAACGTCGTCCGCGACCACCTCAAGCGGCCCTCGCAAAAGTCAAACGAAGCGATTGTCGGCCTTGTGCGTCCCATCGTTCAGGACGTCCGCGAGAATGGCGATGCGGGTGTGCTCAAGTACACCCACAAGTTTGAAAAGGCTACGTCCTTGACGTCTCCCGTTCTCCACGCACCGTTCCCTGCGGAGCTCATGAAGATGTCCCCAGAGACGCAGGAAGCTATCGATGTCAGTATCTCTAACATCAGCAAGTTCCACGCCGCCCAGAAGGGAAGCAACGATGCACTCAAGATGGAGACCATGCCAGGTGTGGTCTGCTCACGTTTCTCGCGGGCCATTGAGCGGGTTGGTCTTTACATCCCCGGTGGTACTGCCGTGCTTCCTTCTACAGCCATGATGTTGGGTGTGCCCGCCATGGTTGCTGGATGCAAGACTATCGTGCTCGCCTCGCCCCCGCGTGAAGATGGCAGCATCTCCCCTGAGATTGTCTACGTCGCCCACAAAGTTGGCGCTGAGAGCATTGTTCTCGCTGGTGGTGCTCAGGCTGTGGCTGCCATGGCCTACGGAACCCCAAGCATCAGCAAGGTCGACAAGATCCTTGGTCCCGGTAATCAGTTCGTGACTGCTGCCAAGATGCTGGTGGCCAACGACACCTCTGCAGGTGTCAGCATTGACATGCCTGCTGGACCTAGTGAGGTGCTTGTGGTGGCCGACAAGGATGCCAACCCGGCATTCGTGGCCTCTGACCTTCTAAGCCAGGCTGAACACGGCGTCGACTCGCAGGTGATTCTCATCGCGATTGACCTAAACGAGGCTCAGCTCAAGGCCATTGAGGATGAGGTTGATGCGCAAGCAAGAGCCCTGCCCCGTATGGATATCGTCAAGGGATCTCTGGCGCACTCTGTAACATTTGTGGTCAAGGATATCAATGAGGCTATGACCCTCAGCAACGAGTATGCTCCGGAGCACTTGATCCTGCAAGTGCAGGATGCCGAGTCCGTCGTGGACCTGGTGCAGAACGCAGGCAGTGTGTTCATCGGCCAGTGGACTCCTGAGAGTGTGGGAGATTATTCTGCAGGTGTCAACCACTCTTTGCGTAAGTGGCCTTTCGTTTCTATGGATCTATTTACACGTGCTAAAAATCTTACAGCAACCTACGGTTACGCTAAGCAGTACTCCGGTGTCAACCTGGGCTCCTTCCTCAAGCACATAACCAGCTCGAACCTGACTGCTGACGGTCTTTACGGCCTATCACGCACGGTTGAGCAACTGGCTGGTGTTGAAGGACTCGAGGCGCACAAGAGGGCTGTCAGTATTCGTGTGGCCGAGATCAAGCGGAATCAGTCGTAATCGCTTTCCTCTTCATGATTTAACGTTGGACATATAGTATGATGATGAATAAAAGTTATATATGTAGATGGTTCTATCTCTGAATTAGTGGTATCTACAGCATGCTATAGAAATGAGCAAGCAACAACTTTTCCGGACCGATGACAACAGGGAATCAAGAACAAAGCAAACCGTCATAATCATAATAGAAGAATTACTTCTTTCTCTCTCGGATCTTCCACTTGATACCATTCTTATTTGTCCCCCCAACAGAGTTATCCATCCGCCCTCGTTGCCAGTCCAGCTCGCGCTCCGCGGCGGTGATATCAGCATATTGCTTCTGAAGATGTTTGAGCTTATTCTCTCGCGCCTCAACGGCTCTCTTGCGCAGCTTGCGTGCCCGTCGTTCGTCAGCCAGCTTCTGTCGTTCCGCCTCGAGCTGTTTTCGAGATTTCTTTTGTTTCAGCCGTTTTTCGAAGGAATCGTCCATATCCTCGTCCTCGTCCTCCTCCTCCTCCTCCTCATCATCATCCTCTTCAACCCGTAGCCTCCGATTCTTCAACTCCCTCTGTTCTTCCCGATCATCCGCAAAAACCACCTTCTTCAACTTCGTCTCCTCAACCTCATCCCCAAAATCAAAACCCCCAAACTCATCATCCTCACTCTCCTCCTCTTTCCCTTTCTTATCACCTCCCTTCCCCCCAAGAACCTCCCTCATCCCCTCTTGCAACCTAACCTCCTGCTCAACCCTCTCCATCTCGCGCCTAACCCTCTCCCCAACGGTCCTCAGATACGCCGCATCCTGCGTCTTCAGCAACTTGATCGCCTCGTGGCTTAGGCCAGCGGCGGAGTCGCGCGATGCGGAACCGTGTTTGCCTGCTTTCCCAGAATGGGAGGACATCATGCCGAAGGCGTATTCATCGGGGTTGCGGTCGCGGGCTTTCTCGGAGAGGCGCGCGAGTTTGGCTTTCTTTTGGTTGTAGTCTTTTGCACGGAGGGAGTAGTCCTTTTATCTGTTAGTACTTCTCTTTTGACGGGTGGATTGGGGGTAGGAGAGGAAGGTACCTTATGCTTTTCGAGGATACCCCATTTTTCACGACCTTGGAGTTGACCACGCTCGCGGTGTTGCCGCCGGTGGACGGCGTTGCGCATTGACGACATTTTGATTTTCCTTTTCTGTGCTCACAGTATAGATAGATATAAATGGTTGTAGTCAAAAGAAAAAAGTGTTGTTGGACGTCGGCGGAGGTGGATAGTTGAAGAGTTGAAAAAAGTTCTCCGCCGGCGGAAGCTCCAACGTCGACTTTCTCGGTCAGCTGCTCTTCCCTCGACGGCTGCCTGGCTATTTATCCGCAATTGAAGAATCATTCTCTTTAATTTACAGAGTATTCTCCTATTTAATTGAATCCTCGGCACAGCACTTTATCAATTCTACTTCCATCGTGACAGTTCCTTACTACCTAACATACCGCCCACCAACACCGCACCACCACCAACACCAAAACCACCAGGACCATCAGACTACGATCCAAACAGCGCAGTCTATCTACACAACAACAACCAGAAACAGGCATCCAAAATGGCAGACCAACAACAACAACAACCCCGCCCCAAAATCAAATACAACCTCCGCAACCCCCTCCCCCTCTCCGCCTCCCAAGAAGCAGAAGTCCAAGACCTCTTCCACAAACGCGTGCGAAGCCATTGCGCCGCCGAAATCAAAGGTACTGTTCCCATCCTCCTGTCTTCAAATTACGCCCATCTCACTATATCAAAATGAAACCTGCTAATCGAGGCTGCAGCATTCGCCGAATGCGCCGTGAACCGCACCGTAACCGCAACATGGATTTGTCGACAGCAACGACTCACCATGAACGGGTGTATGCTTGCGCATGCGAAGCCAGACGAGGAGGATAGGGCGAGGGAGGAGTGGTTTGCGACTGTGGAGGAGAGGAGGAGAGTTAGAAATGAGGAGGATGAGAGGGTGAGGAGGAGGAGGGAGGAGGTTATTCGGATGATGAGGGATGATGAGAGGAAGAAGGCGTCGGGGTAGGCTGCCTTGGCTTCTTGTGACGTTGTTATTGTGGACTACTTGTATGTCTGTGTATGTTTGGCGTTGGATCTGGCGTTGCATTGTGTTTTCGATTGACACGGTCTCAGGGCATTTATGTCATGTACAGTGCTGTCATGAGACTTGTTAAAAGGCGAAAAGAATAGATATGAATCTCCTAATCCCAGCTAGGCGCCTAACTCCGTAATCAAGTGTAATTGCTAATCAGACATCCGCCATCGCCTTGTCTCCATCTTCATCCCCCTCTCCCTCGCCCATAGCAGTATCCTCTCCGAAAATATCCTCCATCTTCCCATCCTCATCATCATCGCCATTCCCTTCATCATTTCCCTCCCCTTCTCCCTCTCTATCCGCTGGCTCCTGAATCTCCTCCTCACCCTCACTCTCCCACTCCTCGTTCATGTCCCACCCAACCCCCGTTAAACAAAACCTCTCCGGCGGCAACCTCATCCCCCCAATTACCAATCCCTGATGCGCCTGCGGCGCCCGATTCGCATTACCCGCAACATCAAACCCCCTCGAAGCCCCGGGCAACGCAACCCGATTCCTCTCCGTCGCAACATCCATAAGAAACTCCTTCGGCAGCCCCGTCTGAAACTGATAATGCAACCTCGACGCAATACTCAGCCGCATCGCCGACAAACTAACCGTGTTCACATCGTGCGCTCCTCCACCTCCTCCACCCCCGCCGCCGCCACGGCCACCACTCGTTCCCGATTCACCAGCTGCGGCCGCATACCCCTCAGTCGCGAGATGTACGGCGTCAGTTAGGACGTTGGAGGTATAGCGGTAGGCGAAGTCGAGGAGTTGAAGGGGGACGCGTTCTTGGTAGGCTGTTACGCCGAGGGAGGCGAGGAGCATGTGGATTAGGCGGACATCGCGGGGGCGGCGCGTCTTACCGGAATCTCTTAAGGAGGTTGCGGGGATTTGGGTTGGTTGGGGAGCGGATGCTGATGTTGGTGCGGTTGTGGTTTGGTTGGCGCTGGGGGTTTGCGACGAGGTGTTGTTGTTGTTCACATTGGTGGTAGTGTTGGCGTTGTTGGAGGTTTGGTCAGTTGTTGGAGGGGAGAGCGGTTGAGTAGGTTGTGATGTTTGATTTGGTGATGCCATTTTCTTCAAGTAACTGTCCGTCGTTGGCTCGAAGGGGAGTAGTAGGTTGAGGTGAGGTTGGAGTCTTTAACGACGTAGAATGACCAATCTAGACCAATCGAGTTGATTATAACGTTGGCATTGGTAGACGCAAAAAGGTACCCGCGAATACAATAAACCTCTAAAACAATAAAATAGTAATGCAGTTAGAAGGCGTGGGTGGAGTGATGAGTTGACGTGAACTGTGATGGACGAATCTGAAGATCGAGCTCCGAGGCGCTAATCCGGAACGGGTAATCCTGTATACCCGTAGACTACGTTCAACTGAACTGGCACTAGAAGGAAACGAACATACAAACAATGTTATTCAAAAGACTGTCCAAGGCTATGTGCAATCAACAAAGTAACGACGGATAAACCAAAATTTCTAAACTATCCCCATACAAAAGAGATCGCGCCAAACGTCCTGCCAAAAAGCAATGTGTATGAATGTAATGCTGTCCAGTAAACTCCGGTATGATGCATAATAAAGTCAGTATGTCATGGATAATGCAAATGCAGCCTGGTCTGGTACGACGAACTCGATAGCAATAGAATCAGATGCATTTCGTCACCTCGAAGGGGAAGAAGGATCGGACAATGGTATCGAATGTCTCGATTTCACGAGCTTTGGAGTCGCCTCGGGTGGTTCAAATTTGTCGCCCCCCTCGATTTCTTTATCGTCTTCCAAATCAACGCCATCGATACTCGGATCCGGAGGGGGCTGGTCTGCCGAGGCTTGAGAAACGTAGCTGGTACCGAGATCTTCCTCGACGGGCTCGTCGTCGTCAAACACTTCACTTCCTTCATCACCGCTGAGCTCGTAGTCATCGCCTTCGTCCTCCTCATCTGCCTCTTCGTCGTCCTCTTCCTCGTCCATTTCTTCTTCCTCGTGTTCTTCCTCATCTTCCTCTTGTTCTTCATCCTCTTGTTCTTCATCTTCGCTATCCGTGCTTGAAAAGTCGTCGAGGTCTGGCGGCAAGTCTCTCCAGTATGTGAAATCGGTGAAATCCTCACCTCCGGCTTGTACAAGAAGACTAACCGGTGGGAAGAAGTGATCCAATAGCTCGCGCATTGTAACGTAGCTACTCTTGTACTGGTTGAGGCTGAGAAGGTCCAGAGACACCTCTGCATTCGAGTTGATTGTGAAAATCCGACTCGATGGTATGTTTACCGACCGATAACTCAAGGCGTCCGTGAGTCGGTTGCCGAATCCTGCGTAGAACGGGTTCTCTTTTCCATTAAAGAGACCAAGGATATCCCGCAGGCATGCCATCTTGAACACTTCTGGCTTCCTCAGGTAAACCTCACGTCGTAGGGCGGCAAGCGTCCGATCAGGACTCATGATGGTAGGGCCCTTGGGCAATCGATATCCGTCCTGGTTGACTCCATAAATATATGCCCGCGTGGTGTCAGCCTGGCCGACAGACCGACTGGTAAGGTACATGATATTGTATCCATTGTTGACGATATCTGTGTATAACTTGGCCACACCGGCATGCGTCCAATCGCGGCCAATCATGTTCAGGACATGGCCCAAAGCATCAGACCTACAGATTCATAGTTAGAAATATATACATGCGAATGAATCCAGCGATGACTCACTTGGTAATGGTCCCATCAATATCTGAAATCACAATTGGCGTGTTCCCACTCCACAAATACATGGTTGCGGTGCACGTAGCCTTATTGACACTGAACGACATCGGATTGGGTCCTGGTTTCAGGTTCAAAGCTTTGAGTTGGTCGCTTGTGAGACGGAGAGTCTTTGCATAGTTGCGGTTTGCATCTCCCGACAGAGCCTCCTGTGTCAATGCAGTCGGCACTCCAGGTTGAACGTCGGATTTCGCACGGGTATGCCGGGTGAGCAACGATTCAGGAATATGCTGGTCACCATCACTATGATACCCGGAATCCGTAACAGCGTTCTCGCTCATGGCTGAGTTGGGTCTCATCGCATTAAAGGTTGCTCGACGATTGGCCGCCTCTTTGGCCTCCTCACTACTGTAGATCCACAAATTCCCATGTTCATCAGCACCAATCAGAGATCCAATATCGTAGCAGCCTTCCAATTCTTCGGATAATATTTTGCGTGCAATAACTTCCGCGCGCAAAGCGTCCTCATCATTGCTTTTATAGCCGGTCATATCGAGCATAAGATCTCCGGTATCAGTGACGTGCGATGGGATGTTAGACCCCGATAATTTTTTCGACAGGGAAATCGCACGCGACATAGCTTCCTCTGCTGTCGGTGGGGGCGGGCTTTGGGAACGTGCGATATGGACTGGATCGGCATCTGATACCTGGGAGCTTGCTGAACGCACTTCAAAATCGTCTTCCAACGGAGGCTCTGAGTCAAAATGATTAAACTTTCCCGATTCCAACTCGAGCGGACCAAGATGAGGCATGCCAAGTTCGGGCGCATCTAGTGACCGTGACAGGGGTGCGATCGCCCCTGTGATTCATGTCAGTAAATTATGCAAATAAAAAGATCATCCAGGAGTCATCCATACCCAGATCAGTCGAGGCCCGGGCATTTCTCGACAGGGGAATGTCCGTAGGCTTCGATTCACTTGCGTCGGGTGAGACATCCAAGTCCAGATAATCTGGTTCTTGGAGTGAGCTTGATAGCTCACTCTCACTCTGAGACCTCGGACTACCCGCTGGCGATACCACTGGTGACGTTTGTAGTGAATCCGGAATATCATCTGATGTCTCGAATACAAAGAACGCTTCTCCCCCTTCACCCAGCTTCATGGAATATGGTTGCTTTTCCCCATTTACCGTAAATTCGACCTGTGGCCCAGTTCAGTCACACGCTGGATGGGATTCGCTGTATGGTTGGGATGGATGTACCTTTTTCTCATAGGGGCGGAGGAGGGAAAATTTCCCAAATCGGACATGAAATGGCGAACAGGCAAGAGTTCCTAACCACGTACCCCGAGTATTAGCAGAGACAAATCCACAGCAATAATGAAGCGTATCCTAACCATCTTCTTGTTCAATCACAATCACATCAATGGCTCCGCTGAGAGTCGCCGGATTAATGGAATTCCATGTCTTCGAGACGGAACCGCTGATACTCCGCACGTACTGCATCGCGCCGGGTCAAGTCGAGGGATTCACGCAGAGAGTCGATATAACGTTGCAAATGAAAAAAAATAAAATAAAAAAGGTGTGGATAAAGAGGAAATCTCAAGAGGTAAGAGGGGAGCTGATTCGGGAAAAAGACGCCGCCTACATAAGGCCCATGTGACAATGATGAGTGACAAGGAACTCCAGCTGCCACATACCACAGACCAGAAACAGCAAATGAATGGCAGAAAATGCAGAGTGAGTGAAAGAAGTACCCATACAGAGTAAGAGATGCGACTAAAGAAAGATAGACAAACGCGGAGATGTGGTGGTGGTGAGACGACCGTTGGGAGATGCGATGCGCTCAACAAACCAACAGCGGTCACCTGCTCTCCCGATTGGGCTAGATTCTTTTATGCCTCGGCTCTTTGTCCGGCAGAGGGACTCACGCTATTCCGCATGTGGATTAGCGGGTTTCCGCTTGAGGTGCCTTCCGCTTTTGGAAATATTATGGATTGGGAAGTGCCAAGAATGAGTGCCAAGTGTTAGAGGGATGACTGATATCTTATGTAACCAATAAGGCGCGCTTCTCGGCGGAGACGGCCCGAGGAGGGTCTCCCCAAGGCTCTTCGTTCTTTCCCGCTTTCTCTCTCCGTCTCTTTCGCCTCCTCTCGCTCTTTTCCTCATTCGGGGAATGAACAAGCTTTTTCGGCCCTCGACTTTTACGACTTACTCGAATCGGTGTCTCTCTTGTCCATACCCGCCGCGTCCATGGAGATTCGACGCGGGGATGTATGAGCCGTTGCACCTCACCTTTGACGCCTACCCTAGTGTGGTTCCGCGAGTGAGGGTCCGAGGCGTCATGGCTCTTTTCCTGGCAGTGACTATATTATGGGCTTTGATCTGGTGAGCCCCTCTGTCCTATTTGATTTCCTCCGGTCGCTTCAGTGGCCCACAGACGCTGACTCCTAAGGCTGTTGTACCGCGCCTGGCAGGTTTGCCAGACTTCGAATGAAGTTCTAGTGGAAAAGCTTGGTTTGGATATCCCTCCACCACCAGATCTCACTCTCGAAGACATTACTACTCATGAGATTCACATTGCTTGGAAACAACCGGACTTCCATAATTCCATTCACAAACACATCATCCAATTGAACGGTAGTAAAGGTACTTTCCGATTTCCCCCACCCTCCCCCCCCTCGTGCGGGACAAGAATTGGGAACTGATTCAATTAGTGGGCGAAACCAAACGGGCGGAGACGGCAGTCGAAATTTTGAACTTGGTCCCAGGGACCATCTACCACATCTGTGTTCTTTCGGTCAGCGCAGCGAATTTCCAAACCCCGAGTGCTATCCTTCATGTGCGAACGAGTTCGGCGACCTTGTCGCAGTCCGACGAAAATGATGCGATTGAAAGTCCTACCATTCGCGCTTCGATTCCCCGGTCGACCACTGGCTTTGCAGCTCCGTCCGCTCCCGTGATGTCCCGTGAACACAGCGGGGGAGGCCTACTACAATCCAAACGACCCCAGGTTGGGCGAAAACAGTCTCCCATGGTAAGCGGAGTGGATGTTTCACAAGGACAATCGGAGGAAGTACAAAAGAGCACGACACAGGACGACCGAGACGAGACCCTCGAGCAGCTTGCTGATCGATTGAAATCTCTGCAGCATGAAAATGAGAATGTGGATAAAACAGTGGCTGAAGAGGAAGAGGAGCACATCACATTGTTGAAAGACCTTGAAAGGCAGCGCGATGATATGAGGAGGCGCGTGAAGGAAAAGGATGAAGCCAGCAACGAGCTCAGGAAACATGTTTACAAGTTGGAAAGTGTCAATCGCACCGCGCAGGGTGAAAAGTCCAAACGGGAACGACTTTTGCAGCAGAAGGAAGCAGAGCGTCAAAAACGAAAAAACGACATTATTCGATGGCAGGAGCAGATTGCGAAGATGACGAGCGATGCTGCGCATATGAAGGAAGAAAAATCCCGTCTGGAGGAACAGAGAAAAAGACGCACGAATGAAGTCAGAGAGAAGATTGCCAAGGAACAATCTGAGATGAAGGGCATCGACGATGATATTCAGGACAAAGGCGGACGCGTCAAGAAGTTGGAGGAGGATAGGAAAGGACACCAGGGAGGCGACAATGAGGATCGCAAGGAATTGGATCGAATTGACAACGAACGAGCGCGCCAATGGGAAATCAAGTTGGGTAACTTGCAGTCGCATTATGCTGCTCTTGTTGCCCTCCATGCTCAGACCCAGCAGAATTACCAAGATGCACAAGAGCGTCTGAAATGGCTTGCAAGTCAGCGTCCCGGCAGTACTGGTCCATTTTCCCTGCCAGCTCTGGATCTGGATTTGTCGAACGCAGCGACCATTCGTCCTCGTCATCACCGGGGTTCGCTGGCAAGTAACGTTTCCTCGCCCATCAACTTCGCCGGGATTGACCCTTCCTTCATCAACTACAATCCTCCCTCCACTAGTTCACCGACTTTCGGTCCAAGCTCAGCGTTTTTTAATGTCAACAATGGGATGGCTTTATCCGGTGTATCGGATATGCCAGAGGCGTTGCGCAGCGACCTAGATATGTCTTTCAATAACCCCCAAATGAGTCCCCGCGCGGATTCCCTACTTCCCTCCGACCTTCTGGGAGATGAAATGGAATCTCCAGAACTTCCGCATCCCGCTGTTCGCTCACGATTTCCAAACCTTGAACCCAATCCGCAGCTTGAACCTTTTCCCCATGGACCTCCGTCCCCGGGCTCTTCGGGAAGTCAGCCTGGGAGCCTTTTTGCCAGCCCACATGAGAACCACAACCAACAGGAAAGTGATTCGCAGCAAGTTTCTTTGGGGGTTGCGGAGGATGCTCCGAAAAGTGCGTCACGAAGACTTTCTGGTCTTTTCGGCTTTCATCGACCTCGCGGGAAAACTCTTGCCGACGAACCGCCTATGCTAGGCACCCTGAAGCCAGGCCAAAGTCAGTCTTATCCACGAAACATGGACGATATGGATCCTATAGGTTCTAGACGTCGCCGGTTAAGTCATACAGGCAATTGGCCAAACCCGATATCCTTGTTTCCCAGAAGCAGCACAACTAGCGTGACTGCCGATAGTTCTTCAGATCAGGCACCTTCGCGGCGGGCTGCTTTTTCCAACATCTTTTCCTCTAGTCGGTTTGGCTTTGGTCATGGTGCATCCAAGCATGGAGAGAACTCAGATCTGAGTACCGGGTATAACCAATTCAGCCCTAGACATGATCCGATTGACCCGTCATCAATTCTGGGTACCGTCCGGCGCGGCTCGTTGTCACCAAGGCCCTCTTCTACTTTCTCGTTTGACAACCAATTACCTCATCCCTCGACAGATAACCGGCATTTTGGCTGGCCATCGGCAGATAAGCCAGACCATCGGAGTCCACTAGGATTTGATTGGGCTTCGCCATCCACCTGGTCTAGAGGTCTTACACGTCGACCATCGTATGGTTCCTCCGGACACTTACCTCTGAGTCTAAGCGGAGAACCGGATTTCCTCCAGGATTCTTCCTTTGAGAGGCAGAGCCGTCCTCTGCAGGCTCCCATCGGAACTCGTCCTTCATCATCCCATCGACCAGCAACGCCCAAGCTGAACCCTACGGCACCTTCATTCACGACCATCTTTAGCGAGGATTCGGGCAAGGATCAAAAAGAGGAAGATACGAATGAAACATTTGGCTTCCACATGGACGATGGGTCGCCGTCTGAATCACGGGTCTCCCGGGATTCTCGATCATTGTCTATCTTCACTGATTCTTACGAATCCCTGGATAGGGTACCGTCGAGCACCTCTCTCGACAATGGTGCTTCAAAGGAGTCGTTTATTCGAAAGCTCACTCGCAAGGGCAGTTCTAGCAAGTTCAGCTCGTGGAAGGATCGGTCCGGTCTCTTTTCCAGGAAGGGTGATTCCTCGCAGGGCGATATTGATGAGGATCGCGCTAGTGAAGCCCAACTTGGAAAGAGTGTAGATAGCACCGCTTCCAGTGTTCCTTCGGCGGACAAATCAACTCGAAGCCTTAACATCTTTAGTCGCAAGTCCAAGAAGTCCGATAAGGCTGCGAGCGAGGCAAGTGAGCGAGCCAGCGAAGCCGGGGATGAAGAGACCCCTGTTGAGAGTACGGCAACATAATCAACTTATTAGCGGCATTCATTTTATATTTTTCTTTCTCTGTTCAAGTATCATCACTTCGATTATAGGTCAATGTCAGTATTGTATCATATGATGCATATTGTTTATTCATCTCATCGCGCCGTCTGGCGGCATGGATAGTCAGATATCAATCATCCTATCGAATTTATATTAGCAAATCAACATGGTTCACTGCCTTTGTCAGCTGCCTCACGTAAACGCCCATGTCTGCTTTCCGCTCTCCTTAAATTCACATTTAGTACCCGGTTCGTCTTCCGGTAGGTCAAGGTAGTAGTCTTTGCTAAAGAGACAGGTCCTGTTCAATTCAGCAATTGAAACATAGAACTATACGCTAGTTTCCAACGTACCGATAAAGCGAGGTCCCAGCCTCCTGCTTCATATGGCACGGTGTGAAACCGACATTTGCAATGAGTGTATCGCCATCCCCCTATGATCCATAGAAGTTAGTAACCTACATGACAACTAAATTGACTCGTACATACACAGATTGTCTTCCAAGAAAGGAATTCGAACGTGAGTCCGCATTCGATAAAGTACGCATCACCAATTTCATGGGAAACATTCCATGTCTAGAAGGAGTCCTCTTTGGGTTCGCTGCGAATGACAAATTCTTCATGTCGGAGTCTCAAGGACTTGCACAGAAAAGAAACTCACGCGCCGACGATGGCAATTTGGCCATCACCATCTATAGCTGAATTGTGGAAGCGATTGTCTGAAGCCAGATGGCTGATGATGTATAATCCGGTTTCGAGTTTAGAGGACATGGTTGCTACGTATTCTTGCTCATGAGAGAGAAGGGGAGGACCAAGGTGTTTTAATATGGATTCGCCGTTCGAGTTATTTATGGCGTCACACTGCATATCTCCTCAAATCAGGCATTAATGAATCCATGTGCCCCGGTTATTCGTGAGCCTTGGAATGCCACGTCTGTTTTCCCTCCACAAGGCGACAAAACGGATGCGGGTTGTGTCATGAAGATAGGGCACAACAAGCTTACCGATGAGAAGTCCTATCTTCTTGCTTGATAAACAGTTGGCAGAGATGATGGGATCACTTTGAGATCAGAGTTGAGATTAGAGGGGTAAAGGTCGATCGATATGTTCCATTGCTCCACTGTACCAACCGTAGGGGCAGTTTAATTGACCATATGTGCACGCCAAAGCTGGCAGGACATAGGGAATAACAGAGTAACACCTGAATTATACAAGAGAAAGCGTGGGGGAATCTACTGCGTATTTTATGTGTCTATTTCCGTGATGGCATCAAATCCAGTTGCATAGGGCTACCGAAATGTATGTATGTAGTTGTTAGATATCTTCAGTTTTTATCTCCACTTCCCGCACACTGAACCTGAATCCTACCTCCGTCACTTTGGTGGGCGCATAGTAAATAACATGGCAAACTCAAGGTATATATATACATAAATTCATTTAACTACTCTATGAAGACATGGACTAACTTTGATGAGATTCGAATACGTCAAAACCTTCGAGCAGCCCGATGTGCTGCTCCCCAATACCTGGATTGTGGTCCGTATTGACGGCCGAGGATTTCACAAGTCAGTCTCCATCCACTATATACGTTAAAAAAAATATTTGATATCGAGGAAGCCAAACTGAACTGAGTATATCAGGCTCTCTGGTCGATATAGCTTCGTGAAACCTAATGACCGCCGTGCGCTGGATCTGATGAACGCCGCTGCCGTTGAGGTCATGAAAGAGCTTCCGGATCTGTGTGTGGCATATGGTGTTAGTGACGAATATAGGTATTTTCCTTTTATTCTATTTATTTCTGGTCGAGACTGATTGAGTCTAGTTTCGTCTTCCACCCAAGCTGTCAGTTATTCGAGCGGAGGAATGGGTGAGTCGCCCAGAGAAAACGACGAAATCCTCGAATACTAACGAGACAGAAAACTCGTGACAACTATCGTGTCGACCTTTACAGCTCACTACATTTATCTATGGAGCACGTACTTTCCTGATGCGCCATTGCAGCCGCCGTATTTGCCATCGTTTGATGGACGGGCAGTCATCTATCCCAATGCTGGAATTCTGCGGGATTATATGAGCTGGAGACAGGTTGATTGTGAGTTTTTCTTTTCCTCCTCTGAGAATTTAAGCTAATGCACTTGGTAGGCCACGTTAATAACCTCTATAACACGACCTTTTGGGCCATGGTGCAACAAGGCGGGATAAACAACACAGATGCAGAGCTGGAACTCAAGGTGAGTGATATGAACTCTGAAGTCCTAGGCGTTGTCCGCTAACAAACTAGGGGACGGTATCGGCGGACAAGAATGAGATTCTCTTCTCGAGATACGGAATCAATTATAACAATGAGGATGATATATACAAGAAAGGGAGTGTGGTATATCGCCAGGTAAGAGCCATATGTTGTCTCCGTATACAGCCCCGTTTCCTAATACCGTTATAGTACCAATTAGAAGAGCCAAAGGCAAAGTCAGCCTCGAGCTACGAAGATGAAGGCACGCCCATCTCAGAGAAACAGCCATCCAAGTCTCAACAAGACAAATTGCGTAAGCTACGTCGAAAGGCACAGGTGGTTGTTGAACATGTTGACATAATCAAGGACGACTTCTGGGAGAGGAGGCCCTGGATTCTTTCGAATAAGCCAGGTAAACTGCCAGAAGAGGCTGATGTTTGATGTGTCATGATTAATGCATGCTTTTGATGTTGGAATGCGATGAGGATACAATGACCGGCTTGAAACTTCTATACAGCGCCGAATGGGTATCTATGAAGGTCTATAATGGCAAGAAATTCATTCTTTAGCAGACTTTTTCTTCTCCTTCTTCTCCTTCTTTTCCTTTTTCCCCTTTTTCGACTTGTGCGTTGCGTTTTCGTCGGATGTCGTCAACTCGGGCTTTGATTTCTTACTCTTGTCCTTTTTTTCCTTTTTATCCTTCTTATCACTTTTCTCCTTTTTCGAAGGTTCTTCCAGTTCAACTGACTCATCTTGGCCGCTGGAATCTTCGGTTGATGTGGGTGTGGGATAGTCGTCTTCGGGGTTTGATTCTTGCTTCGATTTCTTCGCTTTCTTCGCCTTCTTCTCTTCCTTAGCAGCCGCTTTCTCGGCCTTCTTATTCTCCTTCGCTTCCTTCTTCAGTTTTTTCTCCTCCTTCCTCCGTCGCCGCTCTTCCTTGCTCTCTTTGCGTTCCGAAGACTCATCCGTCTTTCGCTTCTTGCTCTTCTCTTCCGTCCGCGATGCCTTCTTCTCATTGTCATCATCATCCCCCCTCTTCCTCTTTTCCTTCTTCTCCCCCTTCCCATTCACCTCCTCCTTACTCCCCCCAATAGTCCCCGCCATCCCCTCCCCCCTCACAAAAAACCGATACAACTCACTCGTCAACGCATTCGGCTTCCTCCCCCCATCCCCAACCCCATCCTCCTGTCCCACACCCTTAAGCGCATCCTCGAACCCGCGCAGCCACCATTGATTCGTCGGGTCTTTGGTTGTTTTCTTGCCCACGCCTTCGTTGCCTGAACGGCGCGCGACGAGGATCGGTTTGCTAAGGCCCAAGCCGGCGTGGGGGCCGAGGCGGCGGGAGGGGTTTAGGGGGTTTCCGGGGCCAGCCCAGCCATGGCGGAGGAGGTAGGCTTGTGCGTCCATCGTTTGAGGTATTGATGGTGTAGGTTGGGTTGGGTGGTGTGGGTGGTATAGGTGGTTGTGGTCGCGAGTTGAGTTGAGGAATTGAGTATTGATTAAGATATCGAATCGGTCATTGCAGTTCAATACATAAGAATAACCAAGAATGCGCGAAAGAAAAGACCAACGACAAGAATGAATTGACAAATATTATGCCACACCAACACAACAATGAAAAAAAAAAAAAAAAAATGGAGACTGAGAAGTCCGTTCTTGATTATCGGAGATCAGAATCAAAGTTCAAGAAAAAATTTCGGTTCCCTTATCTTTTTAAAAAAGCGGCTATAACTTACTGGTAAGCAGTAAAATATAACAAGAAGTCGCGTGGTCTAATGGTTATGATATCTCGTTCACAACTTGAACTTTGATCCGAGATGGTTCCCGGTTCGATCCCGGGCGCGACTAATTTTTTTTGTCTTTATTTTTTTTCGCCCCTGGCGGTGCTTGGTTTAGTGGTTTTGGTCAACATTGGACATTTGTGTTCCTTTTTTATTTATTTCAAGTTTCTATTTTGTTTGTACGTTATATCCATTATTGATTCTGCGGTGGCCGCGTAAAGAGAAATACGTACGGTTTGTTTTTCTGGGCAAACGAAAGTCATGATATATTTTGAGTCATATACACCCAGTACCAACTACTTTATACACAAGTAAACCATACAATCGAATCCTACTTTAATATGGCTTAAACCTATCCTTCGTCTTAGCCTTCTCCTTAGGTCGCGACGGCTTGATCGAGGAACCAGAACCCTGCGCTTCCTGACCATCAGTGGGCTTCCAAGCGCGTACGAGGCCGTCTTCGCCGCCTGTGAAGACGGTTTGCGTCTGTAGAGTTGCTAGTGAGTAGGACAGAATTTAACCATTGGATGGTACGTACCTGCTCGTCCAAATATACAGAACGGACGACCTCCTCGCCATGCGCGCCTGGGAGACGCCAGAGGTTGTTCTGGTCGAAATGCCATGGATCAGAGGTGAGGGGAACTAGATCAAGTCGGTTCTCACTAAACAGAGTTAGCACCGATAAATTAAGGTCAACAGGGATTTTACATACGCCTTATTACCAACCGCAAGATGCGGCTGTCCCTGATTACCCATACACAGCTGCGCGACATACTCGCAGCCGAGAGGCTCTCTAACATCCCCAAACTGCACCGGCTCAGGATCCTGGGCCTGCTCATCTGGGTTCGTAGCGGGATGAACGGAGAAAACCTCGTCATGACTCAGAGCGTAGATGGCCCTTTCATTGAGGAATCCTGCGTGGTGGACGGAGCCGTGGTTGATCACTTGGACGAGAGCGTCGTCTTCGTCGGCAATGGTTGTGTCGTAGACATTGACGAGGCCGTCTGTGCTTCCGGAGAGGAAGAGATTGTTGTGGGTTGGGTGGAATTGAAGCTGTATCATCAGCATTTGTTATTTTTTGAATGGGGTATAGAATGGATGTACCTCAGTGACGTCGTCATTGTGGCTTTCGACATACTGAAGTCGAGGCACGCCCGGTGATCTGATATCCCTGTTGCGTCAGTTAGCAGCTCATAGTCATAACAGACATTATGTGGAGACCTACCAGAACGCAACAGTTGCCTGGTGAGAAGCCAATTCTGTCCCAGCAACCACGGTGTTAATGCCAGCGTTGCAAGCCACCGACAACACAGGTTTGTCTACATAGTTAGCATCCATATGTACCATGACAGCCAAAGGAAGTAGAACTAACCAGTCTCCATCTCAACAACCGCATTCCCCTTCCCACTCCTCAAATCCCACACCTTCGCCTTCCCATCTCTCCCACCCGTAACCAACAACTGCTGACCTTGCCTCTGGCCATACGGCTCCAACGCAGTCACCCCATCAGCATGAGTCGTTGGCGCAATAACAGAGACACGCCGTATGTTTGCTGCATCGAACACGCGTAGCGAGTCATCGGAGGAAATGGCCGCGAAGGTTGATCCTGGTGATGCGGCAGTGATGGTGTAGATGTAGTTTTCTGCGGGGAGGGATAGGGAAGATGAGGCGGCGGCATTCAGAGTGTGCATATTGGGCCGTTGATTGATTGGTTTATATTACGAGTATTTCGTACAAAGGATGATGTATGTACCCTTGTGGCTGATTCGTATGGAATCCTTCAATTAGGCTAGACGAAGGGTTGAATCCGATTCTGTATGTCTGTCCAACGCCCAACCTGGTATTCCTGGAGAAGATTGTCGATGTTTTGTGCTGGAAGAGCTCGACATTAGACAACCGCAAAGTCTTGACTGACTTTCTGAAAATGGAATGCCAAGAAATCTCTTGCTGTGTGGCTGAACGGAGACGCCCACCGCATAGCTGCGTAGGGAATGTATAACTGCACAAGTACTCTGTATAAACTACTCAAAAAGTACTATTATTCTATATGTATAAGTATTCTGGCAATTTAATTTCTTTGTGCTTTGTTCATTTTGCTTTGTTGGCTTTGATCCCCTTTGCTGGTGCAGATGTCTATTGCCTGATCTCTGTCCGATGGCCGCGGGATGCGCTGAAATCGAGAAGCGGTCAGAAACACAGACTGACATGAAACAGTACCAAGTGCCTACTATGTACGTATAGACCACAAGAACATTCGGCTTGGGACTTGTGTCGGACATTTAGTTGATTCTCCGGCTCCG